CAATCTCCCTCATTGAAGCACCTTATGATGTCGTTAGAGACGAGCTTTAACATCTTATTCAAGAAGAATTTTCTTTAATGGATAGAAATCAGCCTAGTCGTTAAAATAATTTTTAGTAGTCTTCACATATAATTGATGAAATTCTCTAATAATCCTCTCAAAACTATTATGAATATTCATTAGATTCAATAGGAAGATCCCATCATTATAGCAATCTTAATGAAATTGCTCATTTCATGTCATTGGATCATCTCATTGGCACTTTTAAAATAAATTACATCCCATCAAGCTATAATCTTTTATTTGTTGGAAGTACCATTTTTAAGCAAGTTCTTTTTTTTAAATAATATTGTATTTTATCTTTCCATCTATAAAAATTCCATGAGGATAAGTGACAAATATTATCTCGAGTCTAAACACCTAAAAGACATGCCTACAAGGAAACCTCGATGGAAAAAAGATATTGATAAGGTCATCATTAGAAAGACTTAATGAGAATAAGCTGTTGATAAGTTGCATTCGTCTAAAATCTCATAAATACATAACTCTTAGAAGGTACATATTCTTTATCAAAACCTTAGAAAGGGAACGTCTTAATTCTCAAAATCTTGGAAGATTAAAACCTCAAAATATATAAAATTTTCTACTTATCTAAACTCTCATTAGATACAAGTCTCAAATCTTTTAAATATAAAAGGCATAATCTCAAGAAGGTACAAATTTTCTACTCTTCTAAATTCAAAACCTCAAAAAGTTTATTATTTCCACTCATCATAAAATCTCAAAAAGTATATTATTTTCACTCATCATAAAAAACTTCAAAGACGGACTCAAAGTTAAAGTTTTTTCGTTTCATTTAAAAATTTCATAAGGTATAAGGTATCATTATTTTTCCATCTAAAAATTTTAGAAGGCATAAGACTCAAAACGTATAAGTACTTTTTCATCTAAAAATCTAAGAAAATATAAGCCTAAAAAAGATTTTGATTTTATTTCTCACTAATCTCAAAAAGTACAAGCTTTAGAAGGTACATGTCATTTCCCATCTAAAAACTTAAAATGAATAAGCCTCAAGAGATAAAAAAATTATCATCTTATTCAAAAAAAAAAACATAAAAAGTACATACCTCATATATTATAAAATTTAATTCATTAAAATACCTCAGAAGGCATAAGTTTTAGAAGATGCATGAGCTCAAAGTCTAATAAGGCATCCAAAATTGAAACGCCATAAAAATCACATAATATTGGACAAACTCCCTTCAATTAAGGGAGTGGAGCTACTATGTTTTAATTGGGTAGAAATATATTTTTTATTATAAACTCAAAGATTCAATTATGATATGCAAAATTTTTAATAAGGAATATTTATTCAAGGGATGAACAAAGAAGAAGTCTTAGTTTAATATAAACTTTAGAACTATTGGACCTACATGATGTCAACACACTCCTCATTATCATCACTAAAAATTTCGTAAAATCTTCTATAGCCTTCATACCTTCAAACTTTTTAGCTAAGTTTCAAACAAACGGTCCTCCCCTCAAAAATTTCTTATAATTTTTTGTCATGTAATTTAAACCTCAATTAAAACACATATGGAATAATACCAATAACATCAACTCGGACGATGATGCTGATATCACCAAGGATATTCGGCTCTCATTTATTCGACTTCTTTGTTGTAACCCTTTGAGCGATAGTGGGTTATTGATTCCTTTAAGGGATTGTAACTAATTTTTTATTATTAATGCGTACACCCTTTTATGAGTTCTCTACTCCAAAAAAAAAGGGGGATTTTCGATTAACCTGTTTCTGCTTTAAGCTCTATGGAACAACAAACAACTGACTATTCTATTGCATTGATTCATCACTATTGTGCCATGTGACCTTGAGTCCTTGAGTATCTCTGAACCTATTGTAGAAGCCGTTTTAAAGAGAAGCAAAGCAATGCCTCGATATATTTTCATTTCCCTCAATCAGGTGGTTGGATTTGGATAGAATAGAATCATCATTTATTAGCAATATAGCTAGCACAAGTGGACCCTTTAGTGCATTACACACCAATTGGATGATGGTACGTTGATGGTGGACCTTTAGTGCATTAGTGATGATGCTGATGATCGATGCAAAATTAAGGACCCCTGAAAAGAAATTTTGTGCTGCAGTGTGTGGACATTCAAGTTTCGGAATAAAAAAAAAAAAATTAGTCTTTTGTGGCAGTTTTAAGCGGCACAACAATCTCAGATTTGTGCCGGTTAAAACCGCCACAAAAAAGTAAACATGTTCATATTAGAGGAATTTGCATCGGCTTTAATCGGCATAAATCTTATACTTTGGACTGGTTAAAACCGTTGCAACAAAAAACGATACGCAAATGCTACCCCGACGGTCGTAAAACCTCCGTTGAATGTCATTGTAGCGCATAGTAATTACAGTGTATGTGTAGCGGTTTTAAAACCGCTGCAAAGGAATTTGTGGCGATTAAAACCGCCGATATAGGTCAAAATTTGTGCTGCAATTGCCTTATTTTTTGGTAGTGTATATATTATGTCAACACACTCCTCATTACCATTATTTGAAATATCATAAAATCTTTTGTAGCCTTCACACCTTAAAACTTTTTAGCTCAGCTTTAAACAAACGGTCCTCCCCTCAAAAGTTTCTTATAATTTGTTGGCATGTAATTTAAACATCAATTAAAGCACATATAGGATAATACCAATAACATCAACTCGAACGATGATGCTGATATCACCAATATTAACATCCAACATCAATAACAAGCTCCATCTTTGTTGGTACCACTTATTGTCATGAAATTTGTTACAATATTGAAAGAAAATAAGATGGAAAAAATATGAAAATAATTTAAAAAATACGAAGGGACATATATATCACTAAATATTCTTTTCATTGAAATAAAAAACGCTAAAACATTCACTCGTATAATGTCTAAAAACATGTTTCTAATGCTATAACATAACGCCAAGATCACTGAGCTACAACAACTCAAAAAATAATTTTAGAAAAAAAATAATATAAGAAATTTTCTTCTTTTTTCAAAGAATGTAATCATCAATGAGAGCATCTAAAAAAAAAAAAAAACTAATTTTGAAAATTGTACCAATTGTAGAAAATTCTTGAAGTATGCAATTAGTAAAATGGCAGATTATATGAAGTTTTTGTCCCTGAAATTTTTATTCTACTAAAAGCTAGTATTTTTATGTGAAAAAACCATAATAGAATAGAGACTTGGGGAAGGGATAGCAACTATCAAGTTTCATTCATCTCTGACTATGCAAGACCCTTCATGATTCTTGGTAGCAAAGCACTAAAGCTTGGAGATGGAGAATGTCTACGACATATGAAGGACAGCATCTTATTAAAAAATGTTAACGCCTGCGCCCTGCGATAGGAGATTTAAGCCTCGTTTGGGATGATTTTTTTTTTCTGTCTTTTAAAGCATCTTTTTATTATAAAAATTTAATTTTTTATACTAGAAAGCTGCTTTAAGAAGCGGCAATAAAGCCGTCCCAAATGAAGTCTTAAGCTTTGTTTGAGATGAATTTTTTACTATTATTTAAAATAATTTTTTAGTATAAAATTTTTAATTTTTATGCTAAAATTTTGATTTAATAAGCAGTAAAAAAGTCATCCAAACCAAGCCTTATAATCCACACCCATAGAAGATTGTGTTAATTTTTTTTTTTTTTTAGAAAATAATTAGAGGCTAATAAGAGAGAAATAAGATGTGAGATTTTTCTCCCTCCTACATAAAAGTATTTATAAGTTTAAAGGAGTTCCAAATTCTTCTTCTTTTTTTAATCCTTTTTCTCTTGTTTTGTGACATTTATGATTATTAAAAATTTATTTAACCTTGCATTCAGCCCGTGTTAAATTATTTAATGCCCTTCAAATGACAACAAACACAATTTTTTCTTCATTATCTTATTAAGAGTCAAATTATCATTTAAATCTAATTAAAAATATCATTTTAAATACTTCTTAACCAACTCTTTTTCGATCTACCTCTATCTTTCTTAATATATTTTAGATCCAATATGTCTATTCTCCTAACACTATCATTGTCGAGTCCTAAGCACTCGATGACAAAAATAAAAAATTACATTAGATAGTCAAACAATCAATATAAAACTTATCGAATAATCATGACATATATTTTTTAACACATTACTTTAGCATGAGTGCAATATAAATTAGGGAGATTTACATACACACCACTTTCTTTTATGCCATTTACATATCTACAACCGATAGAACAATTTTGGATGCATAGAATTAAATATTAAAGTTTATGAGATGGTATGAATAGTAAAAATGAATTATAAGAGAAGTATATTTGATATTAAAGTTGTATATGAATGATAGACGTAATATTAATATTTTGGATGTTAGATATATAAATAGCATAAAATAAAGTTATATGTATGTAAATTTCCCTATAAATTATGAGCTTAAAAAATTATTTATATATTATACCATCTCAAAATAAATCCAAAACTTTAAAATCCATCCATATCCAAACTTAAGGCTTCGTTTGGGACGGCTTTCTTTCTGCTTCTTAAAGCAATTTTTTAGTTAAAAAATTAAATTATTTATACTAAAAAATTAGTTTAAGCAGTAAAAAAGCCGTCCCAAACGAAGCCTAAATCAGAATATCCTACCCAAAATTTTTTTCCATCAAAGAAGACAAGATAGAACTACGTGAAGGAAGCATGTACAGCATACTTTATGCCAGAAACTTCTCTCTACAGTTGTTTCTATTAATGTGCTAAAAAAAAAACCGTTTATTAACTACTTTGGAATGCAGGAAAAACAACTTTGCATAGGATTTTCTTCCATTATGTAAATTTGAAGATGACAAGAGACAACCATACTGAAAACTACAGTCAAATTCAAGATCAGCGGCTGAGGCAACTGGAGGTATGTAGTTTCCGAAGACAACTGCTCAAATTGCAGAAACTGAGGTTTTGTTTTGGACGGCTTTTCTATTATTTCTTAAAGCAATTTTTTAGTGCAAAAATTTTAATTTTTATACTAAAAAAACTAATTTTAGAAGCAATAAGAAAACCGTCCCAAACGAAGCGAGCGTTCATAGCTACAAGTTAATTAAAGAGAATTACTTTGCTCGGTTTAGCCTAATCTTTCTCGATCGGGTCTGGGAAGACACGTCTAGGTAAATCTGCAAGCTGTGGTCGAAGAACAACATACAATGCTGGTCCCAAAAGAGGAACGAGTGACAATGGAAGAAGCCACAAACCTTTATCTAACCTGTTGCAAGAAAACTATATGAGAGCTCATTCATTTGTTAGCTTACAGTTAAAAGGAATGAACTGCTAAGGGGCACTTAGGACCACTTTTATTTATTTATTTATTTTTTTACTTATTATTTATGATTTGACATGAAATAAAATTCTAGAAGATGGTGGTGAGATGTAAAATGTTTTATGATGTAGAATGTTGGTCATCAAAAAGAAGCATACAATTATGTTAAGTGCTGCAGAGATGAGGATGATGCACAGGTGGATGAGTAACTTCACTCTTAGAGATAGAATGTGAAACGAGCATATACGTGAAAAGGATGGAGTAGCTCTAATTGGCTTATAAGATTAGAAAGAGTCATCTTAGATGGTTTAATCACATAAAATGTCGGCCTTCTATTGACCCGATTAGGAGAGCAGATGTGTTAGAATTGGCCTATGTTAAGAGAGGTAGAGAAACACCTAAAAAGACTTTGCTAGAAAATATTAGAAATAACATTTTACTATATTTAAATGAGAATTTGACTCTTAATAGGACACAATGGAGAAAAGGGATTCACGTAGTCAACCCCGCGTAATAGGATAAATGTTTGATATTATTGTTGTTGTACTTTTTATGATTTGACATGAACTAAAAATAAATTTGATATTTTAATAATTAGTTATGTGATGGTAGCGATGGTCACCAACAAAACAACGGCAATGGCCAATGATGGTGTAGAAATAATAGTTAAAAAAATGCTCACTGCGCCTAAAAGTTGTTTTGAGTGTTTTTAAAAAATAATTTGATTTATTTTTAAAATAAAATATTAAAAATAAATTAATAGCACCCTAAACAAAATGCTTTTTTAACACAACAACAACAAGCCTTTATCCCACTACTTGGGGTTGGCTACATGAATCATTTTTCTCCATTGTGTCATCCTAAGAGTCAAGTTCTCATTTAAATCTAATAAAGAAATGTCATTTATAATATTTTCTAACAAAATTTTTTTTAGGTCTACCTCCACCTTTCTTAACATAAGTCAAATCTAATACATTTACTCTCATAACCGGATCATCAAAATGCTTTTTTAAAACAAAAAACAAAAAAATAAAAGCAAAAATGACCTTCTCAATATTTGTAGCTCTATTATGGGATTATGGTGATACAAGTTTTTGCCATTCTTACCATCTCCTAGCAGTCATGTCATTGTAGATCCAAAACGGTGCGAAGGATGAGAGCAGCAAGAAATCAAGGCTCATAACATGAATCTGCAATACCATAAATATAAGCTGCTAGAATAAATCCAAAACAATCCTATATGGAACTGAAGAGGACTTATAGTCTCGATAGATTTTGATAGAACATTTTAGGGAAATTGTATTTACTAGACAAGCATATTGCATATATGCTACAATATGAAATGAACAGCTTCAAATGATTTAAAAAGCATACTTACAAATTTACTTTCTCTGAAGTATTGGTAGAATTCCGCCCACACGTCGCCATTAGCTAAGAGAGCATATGCCACCAAGCCTAAGCCTGCAGCAACCACAAACTGAATTGCAATGGAGTTACTTTTGCCCTAGGAACAGAGATCACACTAATCTATATTCTATTTTCTATTCGAAGTTCTGTTTCAAAAGTTCTATGCAGAACTGAATAACAAAAAGCCATAAAGCTAATATACTTTGTTGTTCATGTGATTTTTGAACTAGCATAATTCAGAGTAGAACTTTAACATAAGTTTAAAGAATATACTTTGTCATGAATTGCAGCAACTCCATCCCCTCAATAAGAAAAGTATTAATGTAAAGTTTACCAAGGGGCTTAGGCTTCGTTTGGGACGGCTTTCTTACTGCTTCTTAAAGGAATTTTTTAGTATAAAAATTTAAATTTTAAACTAAAAAGCTATTTTAAAAAGCAATAAAAAAGCCGTCCAAAACGAAGCTTTAGTATGAATCTAAAAAGTCAGATGAGTACACGCTAACCTACATAAGCATGTGTATGAATTTGGATAGACTCGAATTTTCTATTTTAATGATTCGGTTGACTTGTTTTTGCTAAAGCCAATTACCATGCATAATTAAAGGTTCAAGAATAAATAAACTTTACCTACTGAGTTTAAATATCGCTCAAGACAGAAATTCATTTTTGCTTTTGTAATTTATAGTTTCAAGGGTTTCCAGTTTTACCGATGCAGTTATCCTTGATTCCAAGAAATTCAAAGGCCATTTTCTAATTTCATCTTCTCCAATGGCCGGTGGTGGAGGCTTCCAAAGAACAAAATATGGGATAAGAGCATATGCACCACCAAAGAAAGAGAGAAGAAGGAACGGCCATACAGGAACCTTGCTGCTTGAGCTGCAATTGCATTGGTGAAATTTAGGGTCCAACTAATTTGTGGTATTCTAATGAAATAAGCTAAGGTCATATTTTATTTACAAAATGAGCAGAAAACAATAGAAAGACAAGTCTTTCTTCTGACAGGCAAAAAAAAATTTGCCTTAATATTTTGAGAATAAAAATTTGCCTTAATATTTTGAGAATAAAAAAATCTTATTCCATTCATCTCATCAATTTCACACGAAACTGATGATGAAACTACCTAGTAATATTAAGTAGGTATTTATTTTAGAATTATAAATGAAACAAAATTCATCCCACCACATTCCAGAGAAATCACTAAGGTTTTGTTTGGGACGGCTTTCTTACTGCTTCTTAAAGCAGCTTTCTAGTAAAAAAAATTTACTAGAAAGCTGCTTTAAGAAGCGGTAAGAAATCCGTCCCAAACGAGGCCTAAGTATCGTCAAAAGCCATCTTAGTTCTTGTTTCACAAAAATGGTACTGCTATAGCATTATCTTTCATATTTGAAAGCAATTATGAATGTTAAGACAAGAACAGAAATTCATCCTAATCTTGTTGGAACAGTGAGGTGAACTCTGACAAATACATCACTTTCTAATGATAAAAAAACAGAATTGATAAATAAGTAAATAACGTCGAGGATAAAAGCTGTAATACTATATTCGTTCTCACATTGTTGCCCCTAAGTTGTGGTGTGAGATAGTCGTTATTTTGGAAGCCTTTATCATGATTGCGAGTGGATTGGATGAAGTTGTCAATAAGACCCTTGACAGCTGAAAGACATTGATTCATGATTTGATGTTTCATAGTGATGTGGTGGAACTCATTTTTTAATAGGACTCATAAATGATCGGTGACTTGTAGATTGTAATCTAGAAGAGAATCATGCGGTAGGAACAATCACAAATGAATGGATCATAAAATCTCGAAGGGCATAAATTGTCATAGATCATTATATTTCAACATGAGAATTAATGGAAGTCAGATTAGTTACACACATGTTTGTCTTTTAAGCACTTCAAAGAGGGGGGGCATATATCACTCCAAAGGGTAAAAGACAATTGATTCTATAGGCTTCAATATATATATATATATATAACTTGAATGTATCACATATTTCCACTACTAAACATATATTGAATAAAATTTATTTTATTCTGGCTCTCTATCGATACCCCTGAATAAAAATCTTATGTGTATCATCTCTTACACAGATTTCATTGTTAATTCTTTGCAATCTTAGAATTTGTGAGGGTATTACCACATCTAAGCTATCACATGCGCTAACTATTTATAATAGAATTTACTATACTTAATATTGCTACATTTCTTCTGTGCTCAGGATATTCTACTTTATTACATTCTTCTTTATTATTCTCTTCTATTACTTATATACAGACACATAAATGTTAGTACTATGAAGATAATTATGCAAAAATATAGCCCTTTTCAATTCTCTCCTTTCTAACAAACATAGATGATCCAAACGTTTACAAAATTCCAAACATAACAGAATGCAAATTCAAGACAAAACCTTGGCTTTAGAAATCACCTTCTACCAGTTGGAAGCAACAGCATGCTATAAACGACCGGCCATAATCCCATGATGTTCCACAAAGCCACGAGAACTTCATTCATCTGATAGCCATCATCACCTTTCAGGTACAAGAGCTTCTGAACAAAATACACATCCCTATACTGAAAAGCTACAGATGTTATTACAAGCAAGGAAATACAGCAGTTTGACAAAGAAAAAATAACCATAAACTCGACTGAAAGGAAAACCTGACATAATCCACATTGAGAGACACATCGGATGCTTTATATCATACTCCATAGTGACTAGTGCGATGGTCTAAAGTTGTTTGTTTTACCAAATTTAATTGCTAAAAAGATTCATAAGTGCAGGAGGTCATTCAGGTAAGATTAGCTATATGAAAAGGCCAAGTAATAAAGCCTTCTTCAATGAAGACCTTATAGTAAATTATTCTTATCAACTGCTCCTTAGTTGAAACTGTCTGACAAAATAACAAATCAAAAGAACCAATGAAAATCTAAAAACATGTTTTCAGATTAGGAGACCCCGTTTTATGGTTATACACTTCAAGGCTGTTGATTAAGAAGCCCATGCAGCTTTAAAATTCATGATTAATAAAATTAAACGAAAGATGTGTAACTCTTAGTAATTAATTGCTAAAGACTCACATTCAAAGTAAACTTGGATTTAACAAGGATGTAAGTTCAAGTGTAATCAAGAGTAGTCCACACTAGACAATGCAACATATCAGATTTAATTAGGTTTTGTAGTGTACATATATATATATATAATGCATTGTATAAATTATAGTAACACTAACTAAAAATGCATTAAATAAATTACATTAAACTCTTTAAAAGACTATTTAGTAGGAGGAATAACTTAAATCCTGTAAACAACAAAAAAATGCCATGTTAAATCTCACAGCAACTTAAATCCTCTATTTCTACTTTTTTCCATAAATTCCTGATAATTCATGAATTAGCTGAAGAAGCGCAAAAAATGGGAGAAAAAGATCGTTACCTTCGTAGCGAGCTCCACTCATTACTTCCTACCCAGCAAGAACAATGTCATCGAAGGAGGCGAAAAAACTTCTTTAGAGACTCTTTCAAAACTCTACTTCCCACGGCACACAAAACAGAAGCAGCAACGAAGAAGAAATATGAAGAAATAGAAAACAGCTTTATTCGAACAACTGTGACTATTGCGGCGATCTAAGAATTGGGGAATTGATGGGTGGGAATTTAGCATTGGGGTTTTAGGGATAAGATGTTATGTAATTTTTTTAGAGTTTTTGGGCAGAAAAAAAATTATGAACTTTTCAAAATTTGAAATTAATGAACACAGAATAATTAAACCTGGATTTACAGGATTTCCTAAAACATACTCGAGTTAAATCCTATTGATATCCAAACAGCACCCAAGAAATTATTATAATTATTTTTACAATCTTGCCCAAGCATGTGAAATTTACAGAGCAGTCCTACAAGTCATTTGTCTTCTAAAACAACTACAACAACCAAATTCACCAGTGCAGAACCAAATAAGAAATCAATTACAGAAATAGTACCTGTCTATCACGCTTCTCACGATTAGAAAACAGCACTAGGATCCATAAATTAAAAGAAACTATCCACTCCAGACAATTAAAACCTTACCGGAGTCTGGTCAGGCGAAAGACGGAACACGTAGTACATGAGCCCAGCCCAGAGCCCAAAGAGCAGAACCGAAGTCGTCCAATTGTTTCCACGGCCACCGCCATCTCCGCTCCTCTTCACCTCTTCTCCAACTGGTACTCCCGAATCGCGGGGCTCAGTGGAATCCCTACAAGCGGGAAACTGAACTCTAGTTCCAATGAAGTAGATCGAAGGCCGAATGCCGAGCAAGGCTCTTTGATTGAAGGTTTTCGGTAATTGAGTGATGGAGGCTCGATGTAGAGGTGATTTTGGAAGTTCAGAACGGATTCTTGGGTTTCGGTTACTCGAAGAAGAGAGAGACAGAGGAAACTTGCAGGATAAGAGCATGGTGGAGAAGATGGCAAGCGGGAAGCGGCAGCAACAAGGGGTTATGCGGTGACCTTCTAAAATAAATAAATAAAAAAACCAAAATGGGAAAAGATAAAAAATATATATATATATATATAAACTACACGTTTGCATTTAATATCTTTAGATTTTTTTTTTAATGATATAATTTGGTTTGTTTTTACATTCATATAAATTAATTGAATGAGTATTTAAATAAATTAATAAACAAATTCAAAAACTAAATGAACATTTATTTTATTATTAAAAAATAATTTTATTAATTCAAATGAATAAAAAATTCAATTAATTTGAAATAAATATCTAATTATTTGATATCAATTAAACAAGCACTAATTAAAAAGAAACTAAATAAATTACTAATAAGCTTTGTTGCAATCATTTTAACAAATTTGATCATTGAAATGGAGAAAAAAATTAAAGCTAAATATGAACAATAAAAATTTTGAGATAAGGCATTATATATACATAATTTAGGATCTGTTTGAGATGACTACAACTTTTATAAATGTGACATAAAGCTGTTATGAAAAAGATAAATTTTTTAAAATTGATGTAAAAAGCATATTCCTATAATACAAATTTCTTAAAAATAGTGACAAAACAATAGCCAAATAAAAATTGATCATCTATTAAATTACTATAATATGCAGCTTGTACGTCCACTGTATCACCTATTTATGTATGTAAAATGTCCACATGATCACCTAAACCAACAAAAGATAGCGAGCTTATTGATCTTGCATTAACCTCGTTTGCACAAAAAACTATTGTTAAGACAAAATCATACATTATTTGTTGAACAATGTTTGAACATAATTTGAAAAAGATAAAAAAAAACATAATCTTCGATGCCTTAAACCATATTAGATCATCGTTAAAACAAGGTTCAAATATAGTTCGTATAGGAATTTTAAAAATAAATGCGCTCTTTGATACCATCTAACTCAACATAAAACAACCTAATCGACATTACAATATTACATGATAGAAACCTAAAAATAATACTCATGTATGCTTAAGTTGTTGATGAATGACGAAATTTCCAACTTCAACGACACGATCCCTTATGAGCGAAAAAACTCATGGCAATAAAAACAATGAAAGAAGTTGTGAAAAGGATGATGATAATTGAGAATTTCAAACATTATGGCTAGAAAAGAAATAACATCCTTAAATCATCATCATTTGCTTTATCCCAATTACCTATGTCAACTTTTTTAATCATCATTCTCTATTTGATCTTGTTGACTAGGCATGAGTGTTAACTTTATTTTGGTTGCATCTTTTCATAACTCCTAGTATGTTATATTTGACCCTCTTTCTTTCAGAATCCTTCACTTATTTGTGTATTTTTTACCTTTCATTGATCACCTACTTCCATTTTCCACAACATTTACCTTTCACAGATGCAATTCCCACTCTCTCTCAAATATAATCATTTATCAATCTCTCATTCATAATTTTATCATACATCGAACTTACTGTTTGCATTTCAACCACACTCAACCTAACTACCACTAAAGACTTAATCGTCAAGCATTCATATCTAAATAGCATAGCAGGTCTAAAGTAAAATCCTTAAATAATATTTAACAAAGATGATGAGAAATCTGATGCCCTTTGGTGTACTGGAAAAGGGAAAGCAAAGTAAGCTTACTTGTAATTTACAACCATCCAACTCTCTGTATTGAGCTCTCCATTCTCCTTGCTCAGATGAGAAAAAATAGCGAACGAAAGGCAAAAGAGACATAAAATTGATATCGTCTCCAAGCAAGAAAGCAGAAGGAACTCTCCCTGTCAAAAAGGCAAGTGGAAATATATTTTTAACTTCTTAAAGAAAAAAAGTCTAGCACAAGTACTAAGTCAAGTATCACAAACCTTGAGAACATTTTCTCCAAAAACACCCCCATTAGTATGGTGCTCTAAAAAGTCATGGGCATGCTACCCCGGCTTCTTCTCTTGCATCATCTTTCCAGCAATGCCTTAACATGTTCAGCCTTCTTTTAGTACTTCTCAACTCATCATGCAAACTAGATATTGCTTTTTGATGAGATATCAAGCCCCTATCTTGAATATCTTTTAAGAGTTTTTCTCCCTCAATAAGTTTATTTTCCCTTGTAATGGCATCAATAAGTACTGTGTAAGTAGTGACATTAGGCCAGAGGGACTTTCGCTTAATCTCCTCATACAAATTTAAAGCGTCATCTACATGACCATGGGCGCACAATCCTGTCATTAAAACATTATATGTAACCACATCAACATTCAAGCTACACCGTTCCATCACATCCTTAAGATGCAGTGCATCATTCAGCTTGCCTTCTTTGCTAAGCGCATGCATGAGAGTAGTAAATGTAGCAGCAGTAGGCACAAGACCTGTTCTGAAAAAGTCAGAAAAGACCAATATTGCTTCCTCAAACTTTCCACACTTACAAAGACCCCTAACAATAGCACTGTCAGCCACTTCGCGGGGCACAAGACCCAATGTCTCCATTTCATCTCTCAGATGAAATGCACCTCGTATATCACCAATCCTACATTTTCCATTGATTAGTGTAATATAATGGGTGTGCTTAGGACAAAACCCTTCCTCCATCATTTTATGCAAAATGGTATAGGATTTCTGGAAACAACCTTTTCTATTCAAGCCACTAATAATGGCATCATAAGCATCACAGTTGGGAGATATTTTCAATCTTTCCATGCAATTGACTAGTTTGAAAACATAATCCATTTTACTTTCCTCACTGTACTTTATAAGAAGCATACTAAAAGTCAAGTAATCAGGAATAATACCCTCATATACCATTTTTTCTAGAAATTTTACCCCCAAAATAGTCATACCGGACGCACAAAACCCAAGAATCACTGAATGATAAGTCAGTTTATCTGGAATGATACCTCTCTGTAGCATTGTTTTGTACAGTCTAAATGATTTTGATACCAAATGTCTTTTGATATATCCATGTAAAAGAATATTGTAAGATGTCAGAGTTGGAGTAAAACCTTTCTTTTCCATATGTGAGAAGATCATCTCCACCTTTTTCATCCTACCATTTCTTGAATACCCATCCATCAAAACATTAAAAACGATAGCATCAGGATAAAGGGTACCTTTTTTCATGAGTTCTCCAAAAATGAAAGAAGCAGCCTTCAATTGGCCTTCCTTTATCAAACCCTGAATTAAACAAGTGTACGTAACATGGTTTGGAAACAATGCCTTCTCCGCCATCTTCTGAAATAGAATAATAGCAGGAACAATATCACCCTTCTGACAAAAGCCGCTTATAAGAATGGTGTAGGTATAAACATCAGGAATTATGTTATTTTTTATCATATCATCACATAATTGCAAGGCATCTTCTAAATTTCCTGAATTGCTAATTCCTTGAAGTAATGTATTATATGTAGTACTATCAACAGCAGAAGGAAATGCATGAAGTTTCAACAAAAACTTTTTTCCTTCATCCAAATTGCCACCATTGCACATTCCTCTGAGCAAACTTTGATAGGTAAAATTATTTGGACAGATACCTCGTTGAACCATTTTGTCATATATGGAAAATGCTCCAAGTGAATCACCTCTATCTGCATAACTGCTTATAATGTAATTAAAAGTTATTGAATTAGGAGCTAGCTTCATCCTAATCATATGTTCCATGAAATGCTCTGCTTCTTTGTATTTTCTCTTTTTGCAAAGTGCAGAAATCAATGTATTACATGTGACCAGGTCAATGATTTGACCAAATTGATGCATGTGAGAATAGAACTTCAGAGCTTCTATGACATACCCAAGCCAGCAAAAATTATAGATTATTGTTGCTAATAGAACATTATTTGGCATAACACTGCTCTTGAACATCAGGGATAAAACCTCCTTTATTTGGCATAACTTACCAACTTTACATAAACCATTAACAAAAGCTGAGTAAGTCACAACATCAGGATTGACCTTAAGTTTAGCCAAATTAAGAAGAACATGTCGAGCTTTAAAGAGCTGCCCTTGTCTACAAAATCCATCTAACAAAGTTGTATACATGATATTGTTGGGAATGAGACCTTTGGACCTAATCTTATCGAGAAGATTCATTGCAGCATCCAGCTTTGAAGCCTTGCAGTATCCATTCAGTAAAGTACCATAAGTGATTTCATTAGGTTTCATCCCCCTAGCTTCCATTTCACAAAAAACATTTAAAGCTTCATCAATCATGTCATTTCTAACATATCCATCAATTAAAGTATTGTAAGTAATACAGCTTGGCAAAAACTTTGCATGGATCATGTCATTCATAACCCTGGTAGCAACCTTTAGCTTCCCTTCTTTGCAGAACCCATTGATTAGAGTATTATAGGTACATTCAGTAGGACATATTTCCCTCTCCTTCATCCATTTTAATAGCAAATAAGCTCTGGCACTCTTACTTCTTCTGCATAAATTATTGATGACTACATTACAAGTGTAAACATCTGCCTCAACGCCTTTTATCTCCATGAAATTCATTAGCTTAATAGCAGCTTTGTACCAACCCTTCTTGCAATAACAATTGAGCAGGGTGTTATAAGAAACAGTAGTTGGTGTATAGCCAATATGTTCCATCCTCTTCAAGAAATGAAAAGCTTTTCTAAGCTTTCCTTCGGAGCATAGAGTATCAAGCACAATATTGAAAGTGCGCACATTAAAGCATATCCCATTGGCAAGGATCTCCTTAAAGAATGCCCACACAGATGCTGCTTGCTTTCTTCTTGCAATAGCAGAAATTATAGCATTGCAGGAATAAGCTGAGGCTGCAAAACCTTGACAACCGATCAACCTGAAAGTCTTTATAGCATTATTAAGCATGTCCTGTTGAATATAAACCTTTATAAGAAGGTCAAAGACAGATGGGTTTGAGTTGCAGTGGCGATAACTAGCCATTAGAAAACGGAAAAGGGAAGAACATGATATATCCAACTGAGAGAGGTGCCTTAAAATAGATTTGGCAGGATCATACATCCGCGCCCGAACTAGTACATGGGCTGTGATACAGAGTATACGAGTAATTTCATCACAGGCCTTCTGCTGGATGATACAACTGACAAACTTCAGAGCCATTTTCCCATGAACAGTTCTAAGTTGTGTCATCCTGTAATTCATGTGATTCAGTGACTCCCATCTGTGAATTGTCAAAATGTTGTAGATGCTATTTTCTATTACCTGGACTAAAACCAGAAACAAGAACTAATAAAAGTAAAATTTGATAAATTCCAAAAACATAACAAAACAAAATAGAAGTTTGCAGTTAACATGGAGTTCTTAACCAGGTCATGTGCAAGTCTGAGACAATTTTGAAAAAAAGAAAATCAACTGCAATGGACAAGCAGGTGTTGCTTGATAAACAAGTACTATGGAGAAATTACAATTGTTTTGGAGAAACTTAGTAAATAATGCATACTTGGATTTGAACAGGGTTAGCTTCAGATAATTACTTTCACATAAAAAAACAGAGCAAAGAAGGACAACAAAACTAGTTGAAGAAAGAAATACAACTTTTACTTGTTTACGAATAAAATAGAGACATGAATCATGACAATAGCTCACCGCAGGCACTGGAAGGAAGGAAGGAAGGGGGGGATACTATAAAATGTAAGCAAAAGTCAAAAAGTAGGGAAAATAAAACTGAGAAAAAGAATGAAATAAAAAAACTAATAGTTCATTAAAGGGTAAAATAGTAAGCATACCGGGCTGAAATTGATCATTCCACTTGACACTAGTACATTCCCTGTAGGCCACTCTGCAACTCCGAAAGGAAGACATTCTAGAGATTGGGCCAAAGTGGGAGACGTTGCAGCAAAGATGCCAACCCCTGGCTAACATTCTGTAGGATGGTGCTGCCATATCCGTTTTCTTCCTAAACTACATATATTACAAAAGATAATAACTAATAAGTATTACATCACTCAAAAAACGTCATAGTTCATACGCCATAACAACTTATGGCCTAAAATTAGAAGGATAATAAATATTGCCTTCTAAAACTTTTATATAATATTAAGAGGCTGTTTGGGATTTTAAAATTTAGAGTTTAGTAAATGTGCAAATCTGAATTTAATAAATTATAGATTTTCAAATCTTTAATTTCTTTTTTTAAATCCAAACAGCTTGAACTATTAGAATAAGAGACAAAAAAAAAAGAAGAGAATCACATTTCTCTTGTTTCATACAGTGAAGAGGTGCTACAATGTACAAATTACAAATCCTATGATTAAAGAATAATTAGCATAGAATCAATTCTTTTTAGTTTGTCACAGGGAGTCCTATAAAAAAGAACGAGCAATGGTGGGTTGTGAGGTGGACTGTCATCTTATGGTTGATTTTATCAAAATATATTGATTGCTCATCAGAAGCAGGCATGAGCAACAATGGGGCTTTCCTTATAGAAAAGCTACTCTCCTTCAAACTAGAAATATACGTTGATCATTCCTTGCTTATAGGGCTGCAAATGAACCGAGCCGAGCCAAGTATGTGAGTGTTCATGTTTGTGTTCATTTAATATCAGCTTATTCAAGTTTGGTTCATGTTTGTTCGAGCTTTAGCGTTTGTGTTTATGTTTGGTTCATTTAAATTAAGGAGTGTTCATGTTTGGTTCATGTTCGTTCGTTTAGTGTTTATCGAGCTTGTTCGCAAACATATTTAACAAATTTTTTTAACTATCAAACAAACATGTTCATGAACATATCTATGAACAAATACATTTATAATAAAAGTAATTGTCTATGTAACAAAGGTAATGATTATTTATATTTATTAATTCTATAGTCAAATATTAATTATTTTTATCGAGCTTATTCACGAGTTCAAAATCAAACATGAATCGAGCTTTTATTGAGCTTCTTATCGAGCTTAATGTCGAGCTTATTCACGAACTTCAAATGATGTTGTTCGCGAACATAAATGAGCCGAACGCATTAGTGTTCAAGTTTGTTTATTTAAGAATCGAGTATTTAAAATATTGTTCAAGTTTGTTTGTTTAGTTAATTAAACGATCGCAAACGAGCTTTAATCGAACCGAACAACGAGTAGCTCGCCGAACGTTTGGTTCGCTTGCAGCCCCACTTGCTTAGAAGCTAAGTTATTGAAATTTGATTGATCAAGGGCTTTGATCAAGATATATGCTATCTAAAATTTTATCAAAGTTTGTTCTATTTGAATGATCTCTTCATCAATTTTTTAAAATAAATTATCTATCAATTTCAATATCCTTAGTTCTACCAAGGTGGATTGAGTCTTTAAAAATACAAATTGTAACTTGATTGTCACATATCATTACTATTGATTTTTTTAATGTGGATGTTTAGGTCTTCCCAAAACCTTTTTAGCCACATTCCTTAACAAATATCATGAATCATAGCCCCGAATTCTATCTTAGTGCTACTACTAACAACTACCGTCTATTTTTTACATCTCCATACAACCATATGACTTGGTTTTCCCATACAATTGAAAAATAGCCCAACCCGGTCAACATCAATGTAAGATTTTTATACTCTTATATATTTCTTTTTGAAGAATAGACATTTTCATAGAGCTTTTTAATGTGCATTAATATTATGTAGATTGCATCAAGGTGTTCATTTGTAAGAGTATTCATAAATATACAAATCACACAGATAGAGTATTGGACGAGTATGGGGATATAAATAAGTTTTTCAATTAGATGCAGGTACCTTTCTTTGTCAATTTAGAGAGTGACACTATTTGATCCTATTTTGTTGATAGGACAGGACCCATGGGATATTAATAGGGTTGCATCGCATTATCCCAATTTCCCTTCAAAAATCAAAAGTAGATTTTTGTTGAGAGACAATTATACACTTCTATGATATTGTGACTTCTATACTAAAAAAATTTTAACGCTTCTAAATCTTTCATTTCAATTCATGTATTAAGATCCCTTTTAATCTCATAATTTCTTCCTCATTATTGCTAATTAAGATAATATCATCAACATAGACAATCTAGACAATCAGAATACATGATCAATTTGTCTTTGAGATTAAACCAAGTTCTTGGAGGTTGTTTTAGGTCATATAAGAATTTCTCAAATTTACAAGTCTTATTTTTTGTTCTTAGCGTTTTCGAATCCAAGAGGATTATTCACATATACTTCTTCAAAATCTTCATTTAAATAAGGATATTTCGCAACGAATTGGAGAAGAGGCTAATCAAAATTCACAACAAGACAGAATGAACCAAACAAAGTTAATATTAGCAACTAGTTCAAAGGCCTTTTTATAAATAATGTCATAAATTTGAGTCAATCCTTTTGCAACTAGTCAAGTTTTGTACCTTTTAATAGGGGTGTCAATATTTGACACGACCGGAAAACCTGACTAGAATCCAACTCAAAAATTCCGAGTTAGGGTCAACCCGGACCCGAAAAGGGTCGGGTTCGAGTTCAACAAATCGACCCATTTCAAAAATCGGGTCGGGTTCGGGTTGAACCGATAACCTGAAATTGACCAGAAAACCTATTTTTGACTCGAAAACCCTAGATTGATTGACCCGTTTTTTACCCATAAATCGGAGATTGACCCGTTATTTGACCAGAAAAGTAGCAATCTTTGGTCGGCCCCAGGTCATTCGGGTCGTGTCGGGTTGATCCAGACTCGAAGTGGGTCGGGTTTAGGTCAGAAAAACCGACATGTTTGAAAAAATGGGTCAGGTTCAGGTTGACCCGAATAGTGTCGGGTCAATTCTGGGTATGACCCGAACCCGACCCATGACCCAAATTTGACACCCCTACCTTTTAATGCTCTCATAATCCTTTTATTTTGTATTTAATATTCATATGCATTTAATAGGTTTCTTTCCTTCGAATAAGATTAAGAGTTTTCATGTGTTATAAGTATTAGCATTTCTTTCCAAACAACATATCTTCATTCAAATATTCTTTATGCCCCCTAGATATCATGGGGTATGTTTATACAGGAATAATTAGTTGTAAGGACATGAAATTGAGGAGATATGTTATCATAAGAGATGCATTCATTGATCAGATATTTTGTAAAAATTTTGTTAAATTTGTACCTTTCTGCAAACAATCAAGGTATCAAGTTCAAAATTAGTGTTACATAGTGAATGATGATAAAGGCTTGGTTCAAATGGGAGGTTTTGCTATGAAGGAAGCGCTATTGACCAATATTTGTTGAGTATTTTTTACTTCTATCATAAATCAAGAATTTATATATGATTTGTTTTGTTCTATGTAAACTTCAAAACTTCTAGTGTGATCAGGCAAATGAGCTTCAGGATGGTCAGGTAGATCTTGTGAAGCTTGGTCAGAGCTTGATTCAGACAAGAAGTTTTACTAATAGATGAATGCTTGGTTCATCAATGTTTGTTACAGCATCTAGTATAAACCATGCTTTATATCTAGTTTGATATATTTATCTTAAGAATTTTCAGTGTCGTGAGAAGGATGAGCTTTATGGAGCTCAAGGAGAGACTTGAGCTCAAAGAGGGTAGGATTAATACAAAATTCATATTCATAAAAAGTATTGGAATTCTCTGCTTGAATTAGAGTTTTGGGAAAAAATTGTTCGTTTTCAAAAAATATACATCCATAAATTTATTTTTTTATATTAATATTTGTACCCTTGTGGGTGGGAGAAGGCCTAATAAAAATGCACTTAATAGCTTTTTGGTCAAATTTGCTTTGTTCATGAGGTGGGAAGTAAACAAAAAGCAAAACACTCAATGATTTTGAGTGGAATACTGAAGAGGAGTCGATCTATGGGATAAGTCTTAATAAGAACTTGGCAAGGGATTTTATATTTAAGAATTCTTAATGGCATTTGATTAACAAGGTAAGCAACAGTTGGAACAACATCTTCCCAATAATGATTAGAAATATTGGTAGTAATCATGATGGATCTAGCTATTTTCGAAATATGTACATTTTGCATTTCGGCAATCCCATCTTGTTGAGCAGTATATATGGAGGAGCTTTAGTGTATAATCCCTTGTTGAAGAAGGTAGTCCCCAAAAATTGAATGAAAATATTATTTACTATTGTCCATCTTAAGGACTTGAATTTGGATTTTAAATTGGGTTTGCACATAGAGATGGAATTTCTTAGCAATGTAACATGTTTCAAATGTCTTTCATTAAAAAAATCTAAGTAGCTCTAATGTGATCATTTATAAGTATATAAACTACATATCGTTAGAGATACTGGAAACACAAAAAGGTCCACAAATGCCACTATGAATGATAGAGAAAGATTCAGAGACTTTATAGGGATGACAGGGATAAGAATTCCTAGAGTTTTTTTTTATATTTAACAAGTCTCATAGGGAAACAACTAAAAACGTTTATTATTAAAAGAAGATATGAATAATTTCTTTAAATACATAAAGCTTGAATGATAGAGATAGAGATTCCATTACATGATTGCACTCTTTTTGGGACAAGATATACAACAAGCATGCTTGATTTATAACGTAGGATTTTTTCTCTATCCAGAAGATATTATTCCGCATTCTCCTTAGCATTGTAAATGGTCCTCCCTAAGATTGCATGTAATTCATATCCTTATTAAGTTCACTAATTGAAAAGAGATTACAGGAAAGTTTGAAAAGTAATAAAATTAAGTTTAGTAAAATTGAATCTGAGATGTTGATTCTCCCAATGCCTGAAATTAGAGACAATGATCCATCAGCAATCCTTCTTGAGTATTTCTTAGAGAAAGGAATTATTTTGTAAAATATGGAGATATCCATAGTCATGTGATATGATACCCCTAAGTCCAAAATCCATGATTAAATCTTGTGAATCGTTGAATTAAATATGTTTACAACCAATTGAGCAATTGACCTAATGTTGATATTAGATGTCATTAAGCTAGCTTCGAGTTGGTTTAAACCTTTTTAGCATATCCTTTCACTCTTGAATTAAGGAGAGGAATGTCAAAATAGGCGGTGGCTTCAGAGGTTCATTATTGTTTTACGAGAAGCCACAACCTAGCATCCCTATTTTCTAATCAACAAATTTCTCATGTAATTTCCAATAGATTTCTTTTGTGAGTCCAAATTTCTAGCAATGATCACACCAGAGCCATTCTTCTTTGAGGAATTTTCGCTGGTTGTATACATACCTTGAGAGCAAGTGCAAAAGTTTCTAAAGTTGTTGCAATGCCTTGGTCTTCCGTCATAAATTTTTTCCAATTTTCTTCTCTTCGGGCTTCAAAAAATACTTCCCGAAATCCCGAATAGACATGAGAGTTTCTTTTCCTAAATATTCTTCCTCATAATTCATCAAAATTTTTATTTAATTTGAAAGAAGATTTAGCCATCCTATCTTTCTCCAAAACTTTTTGATGCTTGATTGCATCTCCTGGATACTTCCAGTCTAGTTCTTCAAATACATCTAATTGATGCAATAACTATTAAGAGTTCTGCAATCTTGAATATTGAATATATCTCCTTATTAAAAATCATGGATGGCACCTTTCATTTCAAGTAACCAAGTAGTATTTTCATTATCTGAGTAAATTCCCATTGTTGTATCCCAGATTTCTTTTATCATGGCATAAAACATAAAATTTTAACTAGTTTCACTTTTCATGATGTTAATCAGCCAACACATCATCATAAAATCTCAAAAAGAAGAGACTTACAACAAACTCAGTGAGGCTCAGGTAAGCAAACTATTACGATGAACAAGTAAAGGTCTCTGAATTAAGGTTTTATCCATATTAAAAACAAAGAATAAAAGAATTTGAATCTCATTTCCCTTCTTTCATATTGTATAAGAGGTGCATATTTATAGGTGTTACATTATACAAATTATTAATCCTATGATTAAGGAATAATTAGCAGATAATCAATTCTTTTTTTAATTTGTCATGGGGAGTCATATAAGGAATAATGAATAATGATGGATTGTTGAGATGACTACCATCTTAAGGTTGATTTTTCGAAGCACATGGATTAATAATAAGAAGCAAGCCTGGGCCACAACGGCGACGAGCTTTCCTTATACATGTTCACAAAAATTATTTGAAACATGACTTTTATATTTTAATTAAAAAATTAAAAAAGAATGTCAATTAAGATAATAGAGATAAAATATTTTTAAAATAGTTTAGTCTAATTATAAGTAATTATAATTAGACAAATTATATATAATTAGCAATGTACTTGAACTGATTAAAAAATAATTAGAATTAGAAATAAAACCATTAAAATTTAATCAATGCCTTTTGCGTACTGCCTAATTATGATAAGTAAGCCCTAACTAATTATCATAATAATTAGTAATTATAATTTCTCATTCTAGTAAAATATAAACAAATCATCTAAGTTTCTCAATCACACACCCAAACCAATAAGGGTTTCTAGGTTAACATGAGTTCTATCTGAAATTAGGCCTAATATGGAGATAAGAAAAAAAAAAAAAAGGAAGAATCCTCACCGGCGCCTAAAGTGCACCTCCTGGAAATGACGGCAATTGACAGCAGCTACGACGATGATAATAACAGCACCAGCTTTTTGTTCTTGAGAAAATGGAATCATAAAAAGAAACAGCAAAAATAATGACATCTCCATCAACCCCGGTAAACTCGATTCTCCAACGATTTCACACAAAGTCAAATGTGAAGAAGAAACAATAGCGGCATCGAACCTTCACAATGGTTCTGTAAGTCGTTGATGATGAAGGAAGAGAAGGAAGAAGTAGGACATGGCTTTCACAAAATTTGGGCTCAAACACTCCCGAGGCCAGCGGCTGCTCCTTCGACGCTTCTCAGTTGGTCTTCTTCGCTCCCTTGTCGCTTGGCCGGTGTAGGCTTTGTTTGTTTGGGCAAATTATTGGGTCAGGTGACCTAAGCCATCTCTACGTTCGGTCGCCAATAGAAATGCGACATCTGTTAGGCATTTTTTTAATTTAATATTAATGCTTTATGTCTTGTCAGAGTTAGAGACCCGACCCGATAACGCTTTTCATTTGAATTCCGGAAAAGAAAGAATGGAAACGCCGCGCGGCATCTTCACTGTTACTCCAGCACTGATAAGCGTTCTCGGATTCCTCCATTACCTTCGGTTCTGCATTAGCTTATTCCTGCCGAAGGTAGAAGACAAACCTGTAGAAGATCATCAATCAGGAAGAGGTATGGTTGCGCCTAACTTGCGCTTTACTTGCGCTTGCCTTGCGTTTAATTTATATGTTAAATTTTAGGGTTTATGGTTTGGTTTTAATTTTATCATTGTTTGTTTAATGTAATGTACTGTTTAAATGTTTATTTTCTGATTTTTCACGCTTCTTCTCTTCGTAAATGGATGAAGCAAATGATATGAAAGGTTTACGCTATCTTCTAACTTTTAGGGTTTAGTAATAGTTGTATAACTAGCATATATGTTCAATGTGATGTTCAATTTTTATTTTTTTTCTGAATTTTAAACTTCTTTTAAGCTAATTAATTACGAAATGTATGGTTGCGCTATGGTTGCGCTATGGTTCTGATTTTTCTTGTTTTTATAGATGAGAACGCCGTATCAAAGGCCAGTAACATCTAGATGTTATGTTACTTCTTTCCGGAAACATTATGATGCTTTTGTTGAGATCATTGATGATGAAGTGGAGCAAACATTAAAGGATCTGAACATTCATCAATTTTTGAAGTTCCCCGCTTTCCAGCAGTGTATACCACTTCTTTTTGAGGTTCTCAAATTTTGGAGTCCTGCTGATGAAGGCTTCATCGTCCTTGGTCATGTTCTGAAATTCACTTCTGACGAGGTTGCTTTGTTGACATGTAATATTTTGAATATGGAATTTTTATAGCTATCTGTTTTTTTTAATTTTAACAGCAGAAATTTTCTGACAGGTTTGCCAAACAGAGGCATTGATAT